GTCGAAAAAACTGTCAACATGACCTTTGATATTGCTGCGGACCTGCCGCACTTTTTTTGGCCTCGAGGATCGTCCCCGAAAGCCTGCTGAATCTTGCAAATGGTTTACGCTTGGTATCGCCAAGGTTTTTGGCAAAATTTGATGTAATATCGCTGCTCACGTTGTTCAGTCATTTTCCAGCTTAGTGGAATCCAACGAGAGCGCACTACATGACCTCACTCATAGGCCGATTGCCAACGACTGACGCTTCCTGCAGGCGGGAAAAAATTCAGGGCTGTGCATGACTGTCCCCTCCACAACTCCACCGAAGGAGGCCTCTCGCGCATCATTGGTTTACGTGGGAAAAAAAAGGTCCGATACTTTTTGAACAGACCTCGTATGTTACAGACCAGCAAACTATCAAGACTAAAACAAAAACATAAACCTAAATAATAATTTTATTAACTAATTGAATACAAATACAATTTTATATGACATTACTAGTGTCCTGTCTGCTGTTGCTTCTTTGTTAGCAAAATAAGTTATTTGTGGTTGCAGTTTTGTTTCTAAGAGACAAAGTTCAGCATTTATATCCATTTGATTTCTCTGCTTGGTTTTTATTATTGACATAACAGAAAAAGTCTTCTTGCACAAATAAGAAGTCAAAAAAACATTTAATAATTCAATTGCTTTATCACTCAATGTTGGATATTCTTTTTTAAGTGATATCCAAAATTGAGGCAGTGACATCGTTTTATGCCTCAAAACTAGAGTGACATCAGTAGATAATTCTATCAGCTTTTCTTTATCGTGAAAATCAAGTGCACATGACTGGACATCTTCCAGGAAAGAATTATTAATCCAAAGGTTGCCCTTATGAGAATTCTCACTTTCAGGGAAATAGTTATTAAAGTTTTCAACTAATGCCCTTAAATGTTCACTAATTATTTTGATATTACTTTGTTTGACATCAGCTGTAGTTAAAAATTCACTTAAAATTGGGAACATTTCTACATCGTTCTTATGTAATCAACTATCCCAAAGATTCAGTTTCTTTTTGAACATATCCATTTTATTTCTCATTGTACAGGATCCCTGAAGTGAAATGTTAAGATCATTAAGAAGATTAAATATGTCTGCCATATATGCAAGTTTAGCCATTCATTCTTCATTTAACAAAGATTCTATTAAATTGGATTTTTGGGTGCATAAAAATTTTGTTACCTCTTCTCTTAATTCAACAAGGCATGAAAGAACTCTTCCTCTTGATAAACACCTCACTTCAACATGGAGAAGATGTTGGTGGTGTGGGTCTCACATATTCTCACACAATATTGTGAACAGCCTAGAATTCACAACTAGACTACAAATTTCATTAACAATCTTTACTACATCATTTATCACTGTGTTCAGTTCAGCAGAAAACTTCTTTGCAGCTAAATACTCTCGATGGATTATGCAGTGAGTTGACAATATTTCTGGGTGTGCAACTTCCTGTATTTTTACAACTACTTAGAGCGATGTCCAACCATACTCGCAGCACTATCCGTACACACTCCCACGCATTTTTTCCAGTCTAAACCTTGTGCTTGAATATAATTATTAAGAGCACTAAATATCTCAGAACTAGTAATTCTTTCAGGTAAATCAAGGCAACAAAGAAGTTCTTCCCCTAAGACTTCCTCTTCACTATACCTCACAAAGCAAAGGATAGTGTGGTTACTCATATGAATAGACTCATTAAGCTGAATTGCAAAATATCTAGATTTCTTTATCCCTTCTGCAACTTGAATTTCGATATCTGTTGCCAGATCAACAATTCTTCTTTGAATGGTATTATCTGACATGGATATAACCTCCAGTTTTTTAATGGATTGAGGTCTCAAAATTTCTTGTATGACATCTAAGATGCAAAGTTTTACTAACTCCTCACCAATCATAAATGGCTTTTTAGCTTTAGCTATACAGAGAGCTTCTAAGTATGACGCTCAAAGTAATTACTTGTTGCTAGTCAATATCGTTTTTATTACACTTTTTTGTGTTTTAATTTGGTCACATAATCTTTCAAAAAAGTCTATGGGCTTATCAATAAAATCTTTATGCTTCAAATTCAAATGATGAGCAAGTTTGGATGGTTTCATGGCATCATTTGACAAAATTTTGGAGCACACTACACATAAAGGTTGTGGCAATAGTTCACTGCCTGGTGCTAAAGTAAAATCAAACTTTAAATACTTCTTACTATAATGTCTAACAAAATTTCCTTTTGACTTTTTAGGTGGTATTACACATTCCAAAGTATCGACTTACGACTTTTTCTTTGCTTGTTCTGAATTTGAGGCATTAGTACTTGGCACATTTTCAGAAGCATCACTGTTTTCCTCTTGATTATTGCCATTATTTAAAAAGCTTAGAAGGCTTTGCAGTTTGCTTTTCTTCTTTTCCATTTTATAGGATTTCAAATTTTACAAAAAAACAATGTTAATTTCTCGGGGACCGGCAGAAAATTTTCACAGACCGGACCACCGGTTGAAAAACACTGCTCTAGTGTTTGCTCTAGTTAACAATGCTAACTATATAAAGTTTATATTTAGGGTTCTGCAGCTTTTGGTTTTTTTAGTTACTTATTTTATGAGGTGATTTCATATATGTAAAAAAATTATTCACTTACAAATAGATCCATATTGAACTCTCTCTAATATAATGAATGGTTTCATAAGATATTGATATGACTTCAATATATAATTAATACGCTTTTTTTCATAATTTGATAAGAAATATTTGTGTTTTATGATGTAATTTACAGTCTATTTGCATTTTAGTTATCCCCTAATAAAATCAGCAAAATTTCAGAGAAGGTGATGGCTTTCATATAACTGAACTCAATAAAATATTTTTCAGTGAATTATATTTAATCTATAGGAAAAATGTAAAATATTTTTTTTGTTATAAGTAAAATATAATTATTAGTAAATAATAACCAAAATACAAGATCATTTAAAGAATGTACTAATGACCTAAGATATAACAAACTATTTCAGAAGCTGTTAACATTAGAAATCAAACTTTTAAGTTTTCTTAAGTTGTAGGAAACTATTTATCAATATACTTTTCTAAAATAATTTTCAGACACAAAATTTCATGTCTATTTTTAAATAAATTAAAATTTCTGCAATTTTAAATTTAAATTGCTTTAGTTTCCCAAGAAATAAATTGGCCACTTTTATTCGTAATCATATTTTCATTATATTCCTGAAGTATTATAAATGTCATTTCAATAATCTTTTTAAATGGAAAACTCCAATAAAAAATTCAAAACTTTACACTATTGTCTGTTTTTTAAGCTTAAGGTTTTTATTGATAATATGTATTAAAAATCTATTTGGTTCTCAAGTACAATATTTATATTTTTTACTATAAGTACAATATCTTTTTCTACAAAAGATGTTATCAAAATTGGTGATATGAGACTGTGTTGTATTTCTGTTTTATTTAGGTTATATTACATAGGATATATTACATAGACTTAAAAAATGGAAATGAAGTCACTATGCTTTGATTCTTAGTAATTTACTAATTAAGCTTCAGATCAAAAAAACATCTCTGAACTTTTTATTTGGATTTTTCTCCTTCTTTAATCTTGTGAAATGCAGCCAAACATTTCTGAAATACATTTTATATTAATTTTTTTTAAACACATTTAATAATTTAACTTCTATATTTAATAGGCTTCTGTATGGATAAAAATTTGAATATATTTTTATTTTATTAATCTTTGTTTATTATTATAAAAATAGAATTGCAAAAAGATCAGGATTTAAAATACAAGAAACAAAATGCCTCAATGAAGGACAGATTATTATTGTTGGCAATAAAGAATGTGAAGTAAGTTTTATCATATTTATAATTTTATAATATTTAGCTTATTACAAATATATGTATAAAATATACATGGACAGTCAAAAAGTTTTCAGATTTGTGATATAGCACTGTGATGATATGACATATGGAAACAAATACTCATCACCTTCAAAGTAGGACCCTTCAGCGCACACACACACACACACACACACACTTGCCCACTTGATCCTGCCATTGTTGGAAGTATCACTGGAAGGCTTCTTTTGGAATATTCAGGAGTTCAGCCATTGCTTGATTTGATTTGATGTCTTCCAAGTTTTCAAAATGCACTCCCTTGAGACCTATTTTCAGGGTAAGAAATAGACAAAAGTCATTCAGAGCAACATCTGGTGATTAGAATGATTGGATGCAATAACAACAAGTGTTTTGTTAGTGAGAAATTATTATACTGCATAACAATCGTTGAGTGATGTTATTCATTATCATAGTGTAGAAACTACCTCTCTGCCACTTGTTCCAACTCCACGATAGTCATTTGTGGATCAAAACTAATTAGCTGTCATACCTTGCCAATCATTTCTTCATTTCTGTATGTGGGCAGTCTCCTGCTAAGCTTATCATCCTCTAATGCTTCTTGTCTTTTTTTAAACCATGAAATCAATCATAAATTGCAGATTTCAGTATGGAACTGATTCAGACACCATTATTTTCTAGGAATTATCACATCTACAGATTCCAAAATTGCATCTGAAGCAAATTTTCCCAATTAGCACATAAAGCTTACTTCACACATTGTTCAAATTGAAAAAAACACATGTTGAAATCAAACAGAACAGTAATCCACACATGTTGAAACATATCTGGACCAATTGTAGCTGCAGACAGACATTATAATCTTCCCCTCNGGTGCTACGGTTTATAACTTTGTTAAATTTCTTCTGATTTTAATTTGTAAGTAACATTTTATTATTTTTATTAATCATGAATTGCAAAAGGGCAACAGAAAAAAAAAAAAAATGACTAGAATCACAATGGAACTGAAAAAAGAGATTGTTGAGAAATATAAAGGTGGCATGCGTGTTCGAGATTTTAACTGTTGCATACTGTATTCCGAGAATGACGATATCGACGATCGTGAAAAATAAAGACATTATTAAATCTGTTAACGTTGCAAAAGGGGTTAAATCAATTTCTAAACAGAGATCGAAGACATTAGATCATGTTGAGAAAATGCTTTTGCTTTGGATAACTGAAAAACAGTGTGCTGGCGACAGCATATCAGAAGTAATTATTTGTGAGAAAGCTAAAAAGATACATGCTGATCTGATGAAAAATCAAGCAGGAAAGCGAAGTGTTTAAAGCCAGCCATTTTTTTTTTTTTTAATGTGAGAACGGATTAATCATTTTTAGATTACTTCTTATGGGAAAGGTTGGTTTGGTATATGTCCTATTCGGTATAAATCCAAACATCAGGAACAGATTAAGGTCGTATACCGAGGTTCCACTGTATACGAAATATGTGATTAGATTGTAGATTGCAACTATGTTATGACAAATTTATAACAATTTTTTGATGTGAAAATAATAATTATTGTAAATGTTTATATTAAAACTATAGAGAGGTTGCCGCCTAAGTTTTCATCTCTAAAACATGGATGTCGAACATTGAGCATCACCATCCTGTAAGCCTAGAAGTTTGACTATGGCATTTGGAACATCATTGGAATCATGCTTGACATTCCAAACATCATTTATCAAACTTCTAGCTTACAGGATGGCGGCGCTCAACATCCGACGTTCACATTTTAGAGGTGAAAACTTTGGCCGTAACCTCTCTTAATATTTGTAGATTTTTTCATAAATTGTTATTTTGCATTTATATTTTTATTACTATATATCATACAGTTGTATAAATTGTACAGTATTATTATACAATTTTTTATTATTTATTGTCTTTTGCANCACAAAGCAATCTTATTGTGAACCATCTGTTTTCAAGAATTTTCTCATTCACTTTTGCAACCAAACCATCATTGACAACAGAAGGCCGGCCACTCTGTGCTTCATCGTGAGCATTGGGGCGTCCAGCATTGAATTGTCAAACCCATTTTCTCACCATTCCATCACTCATTACATTTTCACCATAAATCTCTACAAGTTGATGATGAATTTCAACTGGCTTAACATTCTTTGCATTCAAAAACCGTATTACAGAACGCACTTCACAGTCGGTGGGATCGGCAATCGTTTTAAACATTTTAAATGCTCACTAACATGTGGAAAAACAACACAATCCGGCTCTAATGGCGTCACTGGACTGACAATCAACCAGAGACACGTGTGCGCAGGCGCTGAACTGCAATACTACCGCTGCGGTGGCAGTAGAACGAAATGGTACTTACTTTCAGGACACACCTCGTAAATATTTTTATCACATAATAAAACATTTTCATTTTAATCTTTTATTAACAATTTTAACTAGCTGTTCTGTTTAAAATAGAGTGAGAAATAAATGATCAATGACAAGATATTTAAACTTCTGTATATTTGTAAATAATTAAAAAGTTTTATAATGGAAAATACATAATAAAAAAATTTTTTTATTTCTNATATATGTATAAAATATACATGGACAGTCAAAAAGTTTTCAGATTTGTGATATAGCACTGTGATGATATGACATATGGAAACAAGTACTCATCACCTTTAGCACACATACATTTGCCCACTTGATCCTGCCATTGTTGAAAGTACCACTGGAAGGCTTCTTCTTTTGGAATGTTCAGGAATTCAGTCATTGCATTTGATTTGATTTGATGTCTTCCAAAATGCATTCCCTTGAGACCTATTTTCAGGGTAAGGAACAGCCAAAAGTCATTCAGAGCAACATCTGGTGATTAGAATGATTGGATGCAATGACAACAAATGTTTTGTTAGTGAGAAATTACTATACTGCATAACAATTGATGAGTGATGTTATGCATTATCATAGTGCAGAAACTACCTCTTTGCCACTTGTTCCAACTCCATGATAATCATTTGTGGATCAAAACTAATTAGCTGTCATACTTTGGCAATCATTTCTTCATTTCTGTATGTGGACAGTCTCCTGCTAGGCTCATCATCCTCCAATGTTTCCTGTCTTTTCTTAAACCATGAAATCTATCATAAATTGCAGATTTCAATATGTAACTGGTTCAGACACTATTATTTTCTAGGAATTATCACATCTACAGATTCTAAAAATATTAGCCAATCAACAACTTTATTTTACCAACTTTATTTTGGGTAAAATAAAGTTGTCGATTGGCTAATATTTTTGGAGTTTGCTGTTATGATAATTCCTAGAAAATAACAATGTCTGAACCAAATCATCAAATATATCAAAATTTAAAAACAAAAAAACAGAATGGAAGCATAAGGATAAATCATTGATAAATTGCAAATTTTTTTTGATGCAGTATCACCATAAACTTGTTGCAGGATTGATAACATCTGAAACAAATTTTCCCAATTAGCACATAAAACTTATTTCACACATTGTTCAAATTGAAAAACACACATGTTTAAATGAAACAGAACAGTAATCCACACATGCTGAAACATATCTGGACCAGTTGTAGCTTCAAACAGACATTATAATCTTTCCCTCGCAATGACATTCATACAATTTTATTTCTCCTTTACTGTCTGGAGGGCAACTCTGGAAACTTTTTGACTATCTATGTACACATAAATACATAAATCAATATCCAAGCAAATTCATGTGTTAATGAATTTGATTTTTATAAAATTATATAAATATTTTTATCACATAATAAAATATTNAGCTTATTACAAATATATGTATAAAATATACATGGACAGTCAAAAAGTTTTCAGATTTGTGATATAGCACTGTGATGATATGACATATGGAAACAAATACTCATCACCTTCAAAGTAGGACCCTTCAGCGCACACACACACACACACACACACACTTGCCCACTTGATCCTGCCATTGTTGGAAGTATCACTGGAAGGCTTCTTTTGGAATATTCAGGAGTTCAGCCATTGCTTGATTTGATTTGATGTCTTCCAAGTTTTCAAAATGCACTCCCTTGAGACCTATTTTCAGGGTAAGAAATAGACAAAAGTCATTCAGAGCAACATCTGGTGATTAGAATGATTGGATGCAATAACAACAAGTGTTTTGTTAGTGAGAAATTATTATACTGCATAACAATCGTTGAGTGATGTTATTCATTATCATAGTGTAGAAACTACCTCTCTGCCACTTGTTCCAACTCCACGATAGTCATTTGTGGATCAAAACTAATTAGCTGTCATACCTTGCCAATCATTTCTTCATTTCTGTATGTGGGCAGTCTCCTGCTAAGCTTATCATCCTCTAATGCTTCTTGTCTTTTTTTAAACCATGAAATCAATCATAAATTGCAGATTTCAGTATGGAACTGATTCAGACACCATTATTTTCTAGGAATTATCACATCTACAGATTCCAAAATTGCATCTGAAGCAAATTTTCCCAATTAGCACATAAAGCTTACTTCACACATTGTTCAAATTGAAAAAAACACATGTTGAAATCAAACAGAACAGTAATCCACACATGTTGAAACATATCTGGACCAATTGTAGCTGCAGACAGACATTATAATCTTCCCCTCGCAATGACATTCACACAATTTTATTTCTCCTTCACTGTCTGGAGGGCAACTCTGGAAACTTTTTGACTATCTGTGTATACATAAATTCATAAATCAATATTCAAGAAAATTCATGTGTTAATAAATTTGATTTTTATAAAATTATATACGAGGCGTATCCGGAAAGTAAGTACCATTTTGGAAAAACTCACATAAAAAATTTTTTTCAAAACAAAATTTATTTTTACATGAAAGAGCATGTCAGAAACTATTTTTCTACATAGTTACCACCATTGTTCAGACATTTGTCATATTGGGAAACCAACTTGTCTATATCCTCTTCAAAGAAAGATGCCGCCAGTGAAGACAGCCACTGTTGAACATTGGTTGTTGCGTGTTCATTGCTGGCAAAGCACCTTCCTCCAAAATCACGTTTCAAGTTCAAGAACAAATGGTAGTCTGCAGGTGCGAGGTTGGGGCTGTATGGTGGGTGATTGAACTGCTCCCAACCGAATTGTTGAATAAGGTTTTGAGTGACACCAGCAGTATGGGGACATGTGTTGTCGTGAAGCAACACAATGCCTTTACTGAGATTTCCACGTCTTTTGTTTTGAATTGCACAGCGAAGTTTTCGCAATGTTTCACAGTATCGTTCCGTATTAATGGTTTTACCTCTGGGAAGGAACTCAACAAGCAGAACGCCCTGTCTGTCCCAGAACACAGTGCACATGATTTTTCGTGCTGACAACGTTGTTTTGAATTTGTGTCTTGTGGGGGACCATGGGTGACTCCACTCCATCGACTGTTGTTTTGATTCTGGAGTGACATGACAAACCCAAGTTTCATCACCGGTAACAATTTTGTTTAGAAAATCTTTACCCTCTTCACTGTATTGGGTAAGAAATGTCAAAGCACTTCCAAGTCGCTTTGTTTTGTGGATATCTGTAAGCATTTTGGGAACCCAACGGGAACACAATTTGCAATAATTTAAGCAATTTGTGACAATCTCATGCAAAACAGTTTTTGAAATTTGTGGAAACTCATCACAAAGCAATCTTATTGTGAACCATCTGTTTTCAAGAATTTTCTCATTCACTTTTGCAACCAAACCATCATTGACAACAGAAGGCCGGCCACTCTGTGCTTTGTCATGAACATTTGTGCATCCAGCATTGAATTGTCGAACCCACTTTCTCACCATTCCATCACTCATTACATTTTCACCATAAATCTCTACAAGTTGACGATGAATTTCAACTGGCTTAACATTCTTTGCGTTCAAAAACCGTATTACAGAACGCACTTCACAGTCGGTGGGATCGGCAATCGTTTTAAACATTTTAAATGCTCACTAACATGTGGAAAAACAACACAATCCGGCTCTAATGGCGTCACTGGACTGACAATCAACCAGAGACACGTGTGCGCAGGCGCTGAACTGCAATACTACCGCTGCGGTGGCAGTAGAACGAAATGGTACTTACTTTCAGGACACACCTCGTAAATATTTTTATCACATAATAAAACATTTTCATTTTAATCTTTTATTAACAATTTTAACTAGCTGTTCTGTTTAAAATAGAGTGAGAAATAAATGATCAATGACAAGATATTTAAACTTCTGTATATTTGTAAATAATTAAAAAGTTTTATAATGGAAAATACATAATAAAAAAATTTTTTTATTTCTCTGTGTTTTTACATATTTAAAGAATATGATTTATTTTTGGATATTCATAGTCATTAATCATTTCTGCCATTTAAATAAATCGTATATTTTTTCTTTTGTTTTAATACATTCATTATTTATATGTTGTAAAATAACAAATTAAAATTTTGTTAAATATCAAAATTATTCAGGTATATGAAATATGTGATTAGATTGTAGATTGCAAGTATGTTATGACAAATTTATAACAACTCTTTGATGTGAAAATAATAAGTATTGTAGACATTTATATTAAAACTATAGAGAGGTTGCCGCCTAAGTTTTCATCTCTAAAACATGGATGTCGAACATTGAGCACCACCATCACGTAAGCCTAGAAGTTTGACCATGGCGTTTGGAACATCATTGGAATCATGCTTGACATTCCAAACATCATTTATCAAACTTTTAGCTTACAGGATGGCAGCACTCAACGTTCGACGTTCACATTTTAGAGATAAAAACTTTGGCTGCAACCTCTCTTAATATTTGCAGATTTTTTCATAAATTGTTTGTTTGCATTTATATTTTTATTACTATATATCATACAGTTGTATAAATTGTACAGTATTACAGTATTATACAAATTTTTATTATTTATTGTCTTTTGCATAGCAGGTAAGCTTTTGATTTTATGATTCTTATGAAGAAGACATTGTACATTACTGCATTTATTGTTATCCCTAGTTTCTGTCAATGATCTATGTAAATAGTAGATATACAATATATTACAGTGGATTTGATCAGTTTAAATTATTAAATATTTGTGCAAATCAAAAGAACTTTTTTATTTGTATTAAGAAACTTTAACTATAATTTAAGGATAACATGGTTAAATATTTAATGAAATTATAATAAATATTATAATTAATATAAAACTATAGAAAATTTTTAAAGTAAGTAATATATTTTAACATTTTAGATTCAAAACAAATTAAATGAAGGTGATTTTACATCTGGAAAATGCTTTTTGGGAAAGAATAAAGAAATTGAAACTAGCCATTTATCAAAATCACAATGTATGTAATTTTAAATTTTCAACTATGTTTTATTTAACTGTATTTGTAATCAGTAAAATTTATAAATAATAATTTTTATTTTTGCTATGTACTTTTTCAATGGAAATAAATAACATTTATGAATTTTAAAGTGTTTTATAATATATTCCATACAGATAAACAAAATCAAAAAAAATAAAATATTCAGATACTTTTTATTTATTTGGGAACATTTCAAATTATACAACTTAAAATGACATAAAATTTTAATCTGATGTTTTTCTATAATGTGAAATTTAAAAACTAAACTCCTTTTTTTATTTGAATACATAAAATTGATGAGAACTTAATATATAAGACTTTTTCATAAATATTTTTACTTTAATTTTTCACCATGAGATGTAGATTTTATAGAGCCAGATATGTTTTGATTTGTTACTACTAACAATAGCATTATTCAGTTTCAAAATCTGTAGTTTGCATGGTTGAACAAATGGACATTATTCATGTTATAAATTGCTTCTCTGAGTGAATACTGACTGACTCACTCACTCACGCAGTGACATGAAATTTTTCAGAAGCAGACAGCAAAGTAGAATTCTTCTCTGACAACCGTGCCATTTTTCTGGCAAAAATTTAAAGTTTCAAAAAAAGTAAAATATTTTGTTATTGTTGATGAGAGTATCATGACACTCTCCTAGGGACATTCCAGATTATGTCTAGACTTTTGTTTATATAACTACATTATTGTAATTTATACCACATCCCCCTTCATTTTTTTGGTATGTGTAGTATATACAGCTAAGATTAAACTCTGTGTTCAAACCAAGCAGTTGCTGGTTCACTTTACTCCACTCTCACACCCTGCATTTATCACAACGATTATGAAGTATCAATATTTGACATACAGAACTTCTAAGAATATAATAGTCAGTTTAATTTAATTATCATATATTTATTATTAATTTGTCCTACTACATTATTTTATATTACATTTTCTTTTGTCTTACCATCAATTATTCTTCATAAAATTTTTATTATTTATAGTTATTGAACATGTATAAAACTAATATTGTTTACACAATTATTATTACATAAAATTTCAACATAGTAGAAAAGTGTCATAAATGATACAAAATGCTGTGGTTGGATCAGTGAAGGCAGTCTGAATTGATTTCCTATTATATATGCATAATTAGTTATAATTATTTATTTCAGAAAAATTTACNTAATATCAAACTGCAGTTTATTTCAATTATCAATTAAAGCTGATTAAAATTTTGTTAAATATCAAAATTATTCAGGTATATGAAATATGTGATTAGATTGTAGATTGCAAGTATGTTATGACAAATTTATAACAACTCTTTGATGTGAAAATAATAAGTATTGTAGACATTTATATTAAAACTATAGAGAGGTTGCCGCCTAAGTTTTCATCTCTAAAACATGGATGTCGAACATTGAGCACCACCATCACGTAAGCCTAGAAGTTTGACCATGGCGTTTGGAACATCATTGGAATCATGCTTGACATTCCAAACATCATTTATCAAACTTTTAGCTTACAGGATGGCAGCACTCAACGTTCGACGTTCACATTTTAGAGATAAAAACTTTGGCTGCAACCTCTCTTAATATTTGCAGATTTTTTCATAAATTGTTTGTTTGCATTTATATTTTTATTACTATATATCATACAGTTGTATAAATTGTACAGTATTACAGTATTATACAAATTTTTATTATTTATTGTCTTTTGCATAGCAGGTAAGCTTTTGATTTTATGATTCTTATGAAGAAGACATTGTACATTACTGCATTTATTGTTATCCCTAGTTTCTGTCAATGATCTATGTAAATAGTAGATATACAATATATTACAGTGGATTTGATCAGTTTAAATTATTAAATATTTGTGCAAATCAAAAGAACTTTTTTATTTGTATTAAGAAACTTTAACTATAATTTAAGGATAACATGGTTAAATATTTAATGAAATTATAATAAATATTATAATTAATATAAAACTATAGAAAATTTTTAAATTAAGTAATATATTTTAACATTTTAGATTCAAAACAAATTAAATGAAGGTGATTTTACATCTGGAAAATGCTTCTTGGGAAAGAATAAAGAAATTGAAACAAGCCATTTATCAAAATCACAATGTATGTAATTTTAAATTTTCAACTCTGTTTTATTTAACTGTATTTGTAATCAGTAAAATTTATATCAATAAATAATAATTTTTATTTTTACTATGTACTTTTTCAATGGAAATAAATAACATTTATGAATTTTTAAGTGTTTTATAATATATTCCATACAGATAAACAAAATCAAAAAATAAAATATTCAGATACTTTTTATTTATTTGGGAACATTTCAAATTATACAACTTAAAATGACATAAAATTTTAATCTGATGTTTTTCTATAATGTGAAATTTAAAAACTGAATTTCTTTTTCTATTTGAATAAATAAAATTGATGATAACTTAATATATAAGACTTTTTCATAAATATTTTTACTTATGTTTTTCACCATGAGATGTAGATTTTATAGAGCCAGATATGTTTTGATTTGTTACTACTAACAATAGCATTATTCAGTTTCAAAATCTGTTTGCATGGTTGAACAAATGGACATTATTTATGTTATAAAGCTACATTTCTTCTCTGAGTGACTGACTGACTGACTGACTGACTCACTCACTCACTCAGTGACATGAAATTTTTGAGAAGCAGACAGCAAAGTAGAATTCTTCTCTGACAACCGTGCCATTTTTCTGGCAAAAATTTAAAGTTTCAAAAAAAGTAAAATATTTTGTTATGAAGTATCAATATTTGACATACAGAACTTCAAAGAATATAATAGTCAGTTTAATTTAATTATCATATATTTATTATTAATTTGTCCTACTACATTATTTTATATTACATTTTCTTTTGTCTTACCATCAATTATTCTTCATAAAATTTTTATTATTTATAGTTATTGAACATGTATAAAACTAATATTGTTTACACAGTTGTTATTACATAAATTTCAAAATTGTAGAAAAGTGTCATAAATGACACAAAATGCTGTGGTTGGATCAGTGAAGGCAGTCTGAATGGATTTCCTATTATATATGCATAATTAGTTGTTATAATTATTTATTTCAGAAAAATTTACTGTATTTAAAAAACCATTCTCCATGAGTTTGATTCTACAAACTCACAATGCAACTTAGAATCAAGGAACTACGGTATTTAAACTTTTTAAACCTAGTCTTTAAAATTAATTTTAAATTTATAACATTTTCCTGAATAGCATCACTATTTATTAAAACAGAAATTCATTTCTGTTTTAATAAATAGTGATTCACAGAAACAATAAATTTCATAATATATTAGAAGATCATCATAAAACCTTAAAACAGTCTGAGGTCCCAGATGACAAGGTCTGAATCCTCATCTCTCTCCAAAACTGAATTTGAAATGAAAAACAATTTATCTTTTTATAAATTGTTTGCCATTGGAATTTTGGATAACTGACACCTTGAAATAATAACTGTCAGAGAGGTACACAAGTTTTGATTTATACAATGTAAGTCCCAAGATCAGTAAATATCTCTGGTTGGGATCAGAATTTTGTGTCAAGTTAAATGTCAATATTGACCTTTCTTGCAGACCCAGTTTCAAATTACTCATGGAAACAGGGCAATCTGAAATTGAGACCAATCATGATGAACAATCAAGGAAAAAATTTTATAAAATTTTGTTCATTGTCCATTCTTATCTGACTTATCCTGCTCCTTGGATTAATCCTGTGCTGTTGCTGTATTCCTTGTCACTGCCAATTTGTCTTATGCTCATCAAATAGTGTATGCTTGTGAGAACAACCTCTTTGAAGAGAACGATTCCTCCTCTCTACTCTGTAGATCTGGAACTTTCATCTTTGTCCAACAAACTCTGTGTGGTAGATCAAACTTGGTGAATCAAAATTTAAGAACTTTCATCAAACTTTCAAACTTGTCAAAAGAAGTCCACTGATCATGGAAGAGTCTTGCTCTCTCTTGATAAACAGTCCTATTAAATAACCTGAATCTACTATTTTCAAATCAAATATAAACACGTACACATCCACATGTGTAACCCCATTCTGGCTCATAAAAATTTTCCTTCCAGTGGAATTTCTGTCCTTTTGCTGAACGTTTTGATATCAGGATGTGACAATTATCACACAGACCTCACAACAATCACTTAAAATATTTTTCTCTCTCTCTCTAATCACTAGTTAATTGACTAAATATTAAGAAATAAATAAGATCCTATTCTTTGTAGAATTAAAGAAGTAATTTTATTAAATGTTTTATTAAGTAATAACAAGTTAGAAAAATAATGCAATGCCACAAAATAGATAATATCCAGTGGCTTATTTTCCTACTTTTCTTTATATACGGTAAATTTTTTTTGTAATGCTGTATTATAATAATATCTTGAAAGCATTTTAAATGTTAGGAGTTTAAACATTCATTACTAGCAAAACTTATTTGAATTGATGTAATTATTGAGCAGTGACCAAAAACATATTGTATAGATGTTTATAAATATAAACATCTATAATTTAATTAATACTTGATTATAAAAACAAAATTCTTAACATTAATTTATTAATTTATATTACTAATTACATGAAGAACAAATGAGATATAATAATAGTGTGAAAAAGATGGAAATACATTTTCTTTCTTAAACATAAGCAAATTTATCTTATTTAATTAATGTAATATCAAACTGCAGTTTATTTCAATTATCAATTAAAGCTGGTTTTCTCTTTAGACTTTTATAAGACAGTCTTTGCATGACTTCTCATTTTAAATGTTGTAAAAAATATGAATATTTCATTAAAACATTATTAAAAGTTTAAATAGAAAATAACTGATTTCAAACAATTTTATCATTTTATATAATGCACTCTCACTAATCCAAATCAATTTTTTTTTCAATTTTCTGTTAAATATTCTAGCCAAAAATAAAAGGAAATAATAGATTATTTTTTTTAAACATGACAAATTTGTAAAATTAGAATGTACTACACATTTTAATGTAAAAATATGTACCAAATATGTACAAAATATTTTTAAAATATATGTATTTGTAATCTTAATTTTCTATTCTTTGTATACAACCTTGCTAAACCAAACTTTTCACTAATCCGAAATCGTATACAATAATTTGGATTAAAAATGATTTACTGTATTAGCAATTATCAATATTTAGGTGAGTGAAATAATAGCATGTCAAAATATTTATGAAATTACATTGAGAAAATGTTCTTAATATTTTGTTTATTTTAAAAAATTTTGTAAAATTGTTATTTTCTAAATCTTCATCATTTTATACATTTGTGAATAATTATTTCAAATCTGTTGAAATTTTTCTAGTTAAACAGCTAAGTAATAAAAATATTAATTTGAAATTTGATTGTATTTTTACAATTTTGATTAAAAAAAATTAATAAACCATTCATTATAATAAAGCCAACTATTGCTGTGTGCCATCAGGCTGTGTAATGGTTATATTAATAATAAATTACCATACAAATTATAATTATTAAAATATATTACGAGATGGTGCATATCACCTTCCTCTCGGGTCAAATTGTTTGGTAATTTATTATTAATATAGCTGTTATATATACCGATTGCATACGGCAGTGGTTGACCTTATTATAATAAACCATTTATTATATTTTATGATTGTGCTTCACTAATCAACTAATTGATCAAATTAAACTTAATAGACTGTTGATTTGATATTGTAAATATAAAGTTTTTCTAAATTTTATATATGTACTTGTACTGTACATATATAACAAATTTTTTCGAATTATAAAATAATAAATTTTTTGCTTGTTATTTAGGTTCTGCTAAATCATTTGTATTACCTGTTAAGAATTATATTAAAAATAATAAATGTATGAAGCCAATAAATTCTTTATATGCAAACACTGTTGATAAATTCATCATGCCGCATCCAAGTAATAGTCATCAGGTAAAGATTTTTTAATTTTTAAACAAGATAATATGAAAGATTTTAAGATGATGTATTAATTTATGTAATTATTTAACTAAGTGGTTATATAACAAAAAACAACTTCCTACAACTGATGTTATCATTGATCCAAAATTGACTGCTGTACTTCGACCTCATCAGAAAGAAGGAGTAATTTTTCTGTATGAATGCATTTTAGGATTTAGAGATTATGGTGGTCTTGGTGCTATTCTTGCGTAAGAGATTGTAATTTTTAAATATGTTGAAAATATATCAATTTTATAATTAATATTACATCATACTATTTACAGTGATGAGATGGGATTGGGAAAAACATTACAATGTATAACTTTAGTATGGTAAGTAATTATTTTTTATGAAAATATTTTATTAAATTTTTTTCTTTATATTTAATAACTTACTTTTCATTATACACTCCTCAAAAGTGAAATTTCAACACCATGAAGGAATGCACATAGCCAGATGCAAATTGCAGGACTAGTAGAGGAGACAGATGTGTAAGTGATTAAGTTTGCATATGCATCAGGTTGTGGGGTACCCAGTTTTGGGCTATAAAGGCCAGAATCCATCTTGGACAATAAATGCTATCAGTGACAGTTTGCAGCTGCCAAAGAAACATAGCAAATGCCTCAGAGACAATAGTGAGCTGAATACCACCAGTTAATGGCTGGGGAAATAGATTGTATCCTGGAGCTGTGCAACCTTGGTTTGTCAATGTGTGCAGTTGTCATGCATGTTATGCACAACATGAGTATCATCCAGCAATGTGTAATATGATGGACACAGGAACATCTGTGAACATGCCAAAGAGGGATTGCCAATGCACAACAGAGTGCACAGACCAGTAGATTTGCCAAATAAACCATTGGGACCTGTTTGCCACGGCACAAAACATCTGATGCCACCTGTCTCCATCATCAGGTTCATCAATGTCCATGCAAACCATTTGCAATAGGTTGTATGAAATTGGGCTGCACACATGGCAACCAGCAATAGGGCTGGCAGTTAAGCTTGACACAGGGCTGTAAGCCTGGCATGGTGTTGTCATCATTGCAACTGGACCACTGAATGGCATTGGATATTTATGAATGAATCCCATTTTTTTCTATGGAAGAATGATTGCTATGGTGGTATTCTGGAGAAAGCTACATGCCTGGCCTTTTCGCTAAGTGTTACACTAGCCCACACTGGGCATCATGTTTTGGGGAGGCATCACAATCAGTGACAGCCCCAGTGCACATTTCTGGTACTCTGACAGCAGACCAGTACTTCAACAAATTGTGGGACTTATGGTTTTGGCCACAGGTGCAGGCCACACCTGACACAGTGTTCCAGCAAGACAATGCCCAAACACATCACATGGCAAACTCTCACTAACCTGAATGGAATTCACATCCTTTCCTGGCTGTTGGCCTCTTCAGATCTCTCTTATATTGAACACCCATGGGACCTTGTCTGAAGTGAGAGTCACCAAGGACCATAGCAGGGCCAGTTTTGGACTGTTAGCCAGCTGTGTGCTAAAGATATTTAGCCACCCCTATCAATACTGATGCAAGTAAATTCATAACCTAATCCAACCCATGAGAATTTACTGGTATGTCAGTTTATGACAGTTTTGTATAGTTGATAGGAGTAAAAAATCCATTAAAATATTTTATATATATATTTTTTAATTTTATTCAAATCAAGCCACTCCTTAGATAACAGGTGTCTTTGTGCAAAGTTATATTTTAACATTGTCATAAAATAGAATTTGCAAATTAAAATAAAATTAATTTAAAGTAATTTTTCTTATTTAGTATATAAATACAATATATACGTATCTGTATATGAAAATTAATTTTAATATGATGAATATTTAAATTAATAACATTCATGTTATTAATTTAAATATTCTCTTCCTTTATTTAAATTTCCATTTGTTTCATTAACAATTAACATAGTTGTTAACATTAACATTCGCATAAACATAAAACTTTGTACTGTACCAACGTTATATAATGCAACCATTCAAAATGAGTTATGTAAATGAAACCTTAAACTTAATCTAACACATTAACATAAATAAAGCTTGCAGTTTGCAAACTTTAAAAGTTTGCAAATTCCAAATTTTTATGCTTTTTACATGATTTAAAACAAGGAACAATCATAGTGGTTATGGAATTCCCACTGATGAATTTTTCTCTGGTTTAATGGATGAATCTCCCATCACTTGTTTTTTGCACTTTTAAGTTTTCTGATGCAAAACATCTAATATGTATGCTTTGGCATTATTTATATCAATAAACTATACAGCTATATCATCAGTTGTTACGCAAACATCAATCTATTTCATCGTCAGTCACTATATTAAAATAATAATAAATTATATTTGAATGTTATTTTTTAAAGTGCACTATTGGCTACCGTAGGAATTTGGTCATCTTCATGCATGCATGCATGCACTGCATACCTATCAGAACTGGCCCTGGACCACAACCATATACCGTAGACGACATGCATGATGCAGTGGATGCAGCTTGGCAAGGGATACCTCAGGCAACCATTAATGGTCTCATTGATAGTATGTCTCACTGTATGAATATGGTCCCTACAGGCAACAGGCCATTGCCTGTTGCCTGTAGGGACCATATTCATTACTGAATAAACAGGAATCTGTTGCATATCTTTGTCTTTTTAATCATTTGCATATTTCTTTCACCTCTACCAGTCCTACAATGTGCACATGGCTATAGGCATTATTTTATGATGATATGATACCATTTTTGAGGAGTGTATTAATACATAAATAAATTTTTACAGGACATTATATAAACAAGGACCATATGGAGGAATTCCTATATTGAAGAAAATATTAATTATTACTCCGAGTAGTTTAGTAAAAGTATGCTTGAGATACCTTGTTTTTTATATAAAAATTTTGTATTTTATTTCATAAAGTTAAAAATAGTTACTTTTATTATTTAATATTTAGAACTGGCTAAAAGAATTTAAAAAATGGCTTGGATTTGATAAGTTATCAGTTTTTGCTGTTGACCAACAAAATAAAATCCAGGTTAGTTTTATTTTAGTTTTTAATAATAAACTTCAAATATAATAATCAATAATTTGTAAAAAATAGTAAAAAAGACATGGCCGGCGGTAATTACATTTAATAAAATTATAAAAAATATGACATTTTCACAAAGGTAAGAACCTTGTTTCTGTCAGTCTTTCTGCCGTTTCATTTCTACACCATCAGCGATCCTTAAGACAATTCACAAAATTTTCCGGGGACGACCTTCCTTTTAAGGCTACTGCCTCGGCAGTAGCCTTAAAAGGAAGACTGACAGAAACAAGGTTCTTACCTTTGTGAAAATGTTGTATTTTTTATAATTTTATTAAACAGTAATTTGTATTTATGAAAAGATTTTATAAAGTAGTTTTATGAAAATATGTAAATGTTTGAAATATTAATATGAAAAGATTTATGTGATTTAGATGTTTACAATTTTATATTTTTGCATATAAATTTTTTGGAACTAGAAATTAATTTTTGAATTGATTTTAAGTTCTTGAATTTAATAGTGAAAATACTTTTCATCTATTAATATTGATTGGTGATAATATTTTATTTAAAAAAAAACACATTTACCTATGTTCTTGAGTAAAAAATAAAAAGAACTTTTAATATAAATTTTATTATTGTAGAATTTTGTCTGATGGCAATTATTGCCATCAGATCTTATGTTATTTTAATTGGATATTTTTCTGTGTTTTTTAAAGGAAATTTTTTAAACTTGATGGCCATGCAGCCTAAAAAGAAAGGTCAGGTCGTCAAATGTTTGTATTCTGAAACATAAGAAGTGAATAAATGGCAGTTCCCATTTCTGGACAGACTGTGTCTTCTAATTTACATAAATATTATTATGTTAATAATACATGTTTATAGAAGATAGCCTTTAAAATAGCTTATTTTGCACTTCTAAGCATTTATTTGAAAATTAAGCCTAAAAAGAAAGGTCAGGTCGTCAAATGTTTGTATTCTGAAACATAAGAAGTGAATAAATGGCAGTTCCCATTTCTGGACAGACTGTGTCTTCTAATTTACATAAATATTATTATGTTAATAATACATGTTTATAGAAGATAGCCTTTAAAATAGCTTATTTTGCACTTCTAAGCATTTATTTGAAAATTAAGCATATATGTATATCTGCCAATGTTGATACACTTATTAAAATGGTAGTGCAACCCATTCTACATTACTTCTTTGAGTGCAATTATTGTAACATTTTTCATTTTTATTTATTATTTTAAATCTGATATCCTTAGTAAAGCTTTTATATTTGGTCTGAGAACATGATTCAACAAGTAAGGAAGCTGTGGAAGGACAAATATCTGTGTTTTGACACATATTCCATAACTAGAAGGGAGTGATGCACCAGAGTGGTGGTGTGATGGAGAACTCAACTTTTTCCTTGCTAGAGATAAGGTTTCCATTTTAATGAATCACAGAGATGATCAAGAATGTTGATGTAGGACTGTTACTTAATGGCAGACAAGTTATGTTAATCTTGTTGATTAATAATAAAGTGTAATAATATACCAGAACTTTCACAATAAACAAGTATTGCCACAATGGCACCAAAGAAAGTAATACAGAATGGGCTAAGAGACTGTTTTTATATATAGTAATAAATATAGACAGGAGGAGTATTGCTGCAGAATGTGTTTATTTTGAAAGTAGTGTTTTGTAAATGCAGTACTTAATATTGCTTTCATACATTAATAATATAAGAGTTCAGTTTATTTTTGTCTTTGCCATTTATTAAAACATTATAAATAAAATAAACACTTCTAAAAAAACCAAAGTAGAGCAAACAAGAAAACTAACAAATGTTTTCAATCATATTTAAAGGTCATCCTCAAGTTAAAATATTTAAAGATGGAAATACAAATTGAAATATACAAATTTAAAATGGATGAAAAACAATCTCATTGGCAGAGATCATAAGAATCAAGGATGATGTAGTCATATAGTAAAGGTTTTTAGTAAATTTCAAAAATAAACCTCTATGTGTCTGAGATCATGTTTCATTCATTTAAAGTCTGTACATTCCAGTTTTTATTCTGTTTTCAAACATATTAACCCAAGGATAACTTTTGAGTATGATCAAAAATGTTTGTTAGTCATTGAAGTTTTCTTGTTTGTTGGATATGTTGGTTTTTTAGAAGTGTTTATGTTATGTTTACATCCAATTTTTGAAATATTGATGCATTTTTGTATTAGAAATAAACAAACATATGATAAAAATATTTATATTTTATTTCTTTTGATTAAAAACTCTAATCTAGTCAGATAATTTTAAAAAAATTGATTTCAGGAATTTCTTCATTCACGATTATCTCCAGTTCTGCTTATATCTTATGAAATGTTTGTTCGTAATTATGAACTTTTATCAGATGTGAATTTTGATCTTATTATCTGTGATGAAGGACATAGACTGAAAAATATAAATATTAAAACAACAAATGTAAGTAAATTTTACAATAAAATTAATAATTTCACAAATAAAATTTGAAAATTATTTAAATGTACATATTATACTCACAAATTATATTTAAAAAAGAAATAAATGTAGTAAAATATTTCTAGACTGCTGTTAAATTATAAATAACTCAAAAAGTTAAAAGATGCTCAAAATGAAAAATATAATAAATATTTAATTACATCAAGAAAAATGAAATCATGAGAAAATTAATTTTTTAATATAAAAATAAATTTTATTTTAATTAGCGTTATGTAATTTAAGTGTAAATTGTTTGTGAAGAATACTTTTTATTATAAAAAATTTTAAGAACAGACATGCAAACAAATTAGCTCTTCTTTCCATTTTTGATTTTTTCTGAATTTTCCTAATTTTCTATCTGATTAACATCATTTTCTAATTTTCTTTTTGAAACTGTGTCCTGTTTTTTATTTGTGGCATAGTAAACACTAGTATTGTGTTTTATTCCAAAGACACATGGCAAATTTTCCATCAAATTCCTTTGTTAGTTGAGTCGATACAGTACATTGTTTTGTACTTGTTTCGGGCTTTGCCCCTCTTCAGTCAACTAAAATACAATATATATATTTTAACTTATTACAGTAGAGAATTTACATAAAACAATGAGTACATAAACGATATATAGACGTACCTTTTGGTTACACTTTGTAAAATTTAAAAACATGTAATAAGTTAAAATATATATATTGTATTTTAGTTGACTGAAGAGGGGCAAAGCCCGAAATGAGTACAAAACAATGTACCGTATCGACTCAACTAATAAAGGAATTTGATGGAAAATTTGCCATGTGTCTTTGGAATAAAACACAATACTAGTGTTTACTACGCCACAAATCATTTTCTAATTCTTTAGGGGGGTTGGTGTGTTTTTCTTCAACCTTGTGATTGACTTCGTTTTCTTTATTTGACAAATTGGACTGTGTCACGTGGTAATTGAGAAACTTATTAACGGTTTCTCAGTTACCATATGACACAGTCACACTCAGTTACTATTATGGTTTTTGTTGTGAAGTTTAGGCATGGGAATCTTATTGTAGATGATGTGTTGCATTCTTTGATGACTAGCTTCCTGTCTTTGTACCAATTTTTGCATCTCTCATTAATAACCAAGAGTCTGATTTCATTAGGAATCATTTTGATCCACTCCACCACTTATTTGTGGTTCTTGTTGACAAAGTTGACTCTATTGACCTTGATGATGTAGTCTCCCTCTCTCAAGTCAACATATTTAGCATTGCTACATTTGTTCACCTCTCCTATGTACTGTTCTGCTTTGGACTTTTGGCATGTAAGTTGAAGCCTTATCTGTCAAATCATTCCACTGATCAGGTGATAAAGGTTCAGGCTGGAGTGTCTTCTGACAATTCTACAGACAATATTTCTGCCTGGTGCCTCAAGCCCTGATTTCATACACAATCACCTTCCTTGCAACTTATTCCATTTGCATATGTTTATTTTACATATTAGTTTATTTATTATTAGAAATTTTTAAAATTAATTTTATTACAGTAGAGCATCATTTATCCAAATCAATTGGGGACTGAGGTTGTTCAGATAACTTATTTTTTGGATAACTGATTATGTACGAAAAAATGTATTAACCTATACCATGTTGAAATTTTTTTCTGTTGCGTGTCGCTTCGTGTTGAATTTTTGTTGATGTTAAGCATAACGTAAACTTTTTAAAATAATAATCGTGGCTATTGTATTGTTAAACATTACTTCTTTATTTTTTACAAACAAAATAAATATATTGAAAAATATAAAAACCAAAAAAAAAATATACTTTAGAAGTTGATCTAGTATCAAAAACATTTGATTCACACAGTCCTGAAAAAAACACTATACAAAAATGCCAGTGCTGCCAGCTAAAACACACACACAAACAAAAAAAAATATTGGAATAGACCAAGATATAGCCAAAGATTGCAGTGCCACAGCACTAGTGAAAATTTAAATTTGCCTACTGGAATGCTTTTGGTTAACCAACATTTCGGATAACTGGCTTTTGGATAAATGACGCTCTACTTTATTAGATTTGTGAGGTCCCGGACAGGTTGAAACCATCATGAAATTCATGAAAATCAGTTAATTTAGAGAAAAATTTTGTTTGTTTAAAAAGGCAAGAAAAAAATTTTGTGTGTAGTCAGACACTCTTTTGTTTATATTAAAATGAGACCCAAAGCCATAAATTATGGAAGGAATGCCATCCATTTTCAATTGGAAGGTAGAATTCAGCTTCAAGTTTGACCTCTCTCTCCAATGCTTCAGGTTGGAGTCCTGTTACGCTTAGTAATGAAGGACCAGCCACTTGGAAAGCATGGATGAGGGAGATCAACCAATCAGAATGGCCGATTGAAAGACAAATAATCCCCAATCTTCAAGAACAAAATACTTTTCCATAAACTGTGCACTGCAGACAGTGAGTCAATGAACTCTCTGTACATAAAATGTAGAGTGTCATTATATTGAGAGAGAGCAGTCTCCCTTTGGATAACTCTTGAAATTGTGTGTTGTCAAAGCCATTCTCCCTTTGCACTATCTGCTGTGCCAAGTGCCACATCACCTTCATCTATTTGTCAATGTTGCTGATTCAGGAACCCTTCTTGCCTGCCACAGCGCTGCAACTAGCAACAGGAAACTACTAGAAGGTGAGAGTCACATCACTCCTCTACATCAGGAAGAATTACAACTGATAGACTGTAAAAAACTAGCTAGACCATGTAAGAACCCTTTCTGCAAATAATAAACAGCTTCTATGTAAGATACTTGTCATCTCTGCCTCCAACACCACCACCCACATGTGAACAATTCCTAGACTATTCCTAGCACAGGATTAACTGATCCCCCATTAAGTTGGCAAACTCACACTGGTGTCAGATAAGTAGGCTTTTAAGTCTCCGATCTCCTCCAGCAGTTAGCAAACTTACATGTTTTCAAAAAAATATTCATAATTTTAAGGTATTTATTTATTTTTTTTGAGCAGTTATTGATGGGCTTACAGACTCCTAGACGTATACTTCTGACAGGAACACCGATTCAGAATGATTTGAAAGAATTTTATTCAATTGTTGAGTTCTGTAATCCTGGTATTTTAGGTTTGTTGTTTAGGTTTGTTGTTTATTTTATTATCTCTTTTATTACTTTACGTTTTACAATTTCTTTTGTTTTACTTAGGTTCACCATCTCAGTTTCATAGAATTTTTGAAGAACCAATAATTCAGAGTAGACAACCCAATGCAACTGCAGAAGCAAAATGTCTTGGAAAAGACAGGGCTCAAGAGTTGTTTTCTCTTACTAGTTCATTTGTATTACGAAGAACACAAGAAATCATCAATAAATACCTTCCAACAAAATGTAATTATTTTTATTATTCAAGCATACAGTAGAATTCACTTAGTGTAACCACTTTGGCACTTGCCTATATTGATAATAATAAGTAACTAATCATTAAAAGTAAATAAGACTATAATTAGTGAAAATTCTATTTTATTTGCTCTGACATTAAAATTATTAACAAAATTCAAGCATGTAGGCTGCAAAATACTGACTTTTATTCTTGACAAATGTTGTCAGATAGATAAAAATTAAATCATGATAGTTTTACAATTTTTATCTAAATTAAATGAGATATATATTTTATATTACATGAATAATAATATAATATAACAATATTATACAATTAAGATACAAATGGAAATCCATTTGTATCTGTGGAATGCCACAAGTCAGACATTTGTAACCTGGAGACTGCATATAGTTTAATTAAGATTGCCATTGTTTGTGTATTGGTATTTAAAAACAATTAATTTATTATACATTTTGATATAGTTATTTAAATTGATTTCTTTAATAAGCCAAATGATTGTTGTATTGAATTGTGCTATTTTACTGCTACTATTAATAATTATTCAATGTAATTATTAATAATAGCAGTAAAGTAGCCTGATTCAGTATGGCAATTGTTTAGCTTATTATTAAAACATTGATCTTTGAGATGCTTATATATTGATTTCTTTGATAAAATTTTCTAACAATTAATATATTTTTTCATTAATTAAAACATAGAATATATATTATTTCATAAATGATTTAAGTGTTTGAGCATTTTAGATCTAATTCATAAACTTCTGCTATTTATATTTATAGAGAGAAAATATATTTATCAATTACCTATACTCCTATAGATTTATGACAATTAAATATATGAGATATTACAAGAAAAAATTGCATCAGTTTACAAAACTTACATTTTTATCATTTTCAATGATCAGTTCCATCTATTCCATTACCTTTCATCTATAAATACTTTGAAAAAGTAGTGCAATTATTAATACTTAGAAAGAAGAAAAATTTTCTTGTGTTTTCACAATGTTAAAATAGTTTTCTTTTAGCTTTATCAAAAAATAAAAGCTCAAATCATATGTTCAGCACACTTTAATGTTTAGCACATAAATGCAATACAGTGATACCTCGACTTACGCTACCCTGACTTATGCGATTTTCAAATCTCGTTGATTCGTCTTTTGTTTGAGCACCACACAACTCTTGATTACTCACTCCCCCCACACTATTGTTCAGCTTACATGTTCAGACGTGTCGTGCGGAATCGAAGCATAGCTACAATTTATTTTGTGTTATTTATTTCTGTGTTTGTTATATCTACGGAGACTTGAGAGATTCTATATGGTGATTTCTTGTAAGCATGAACGAATCAAATGTTGAGATAAAATTAATGAGAACATTTATTAGCTTACATACATCCGACTTGGATTTTACACAAATTGCGAAATTATACCCCGAGTTATGCGAATTTGACTTACGCGGTTATTGCTCAGTCCCACCTATCGCGTAAGTTCGGGGTATTACTGTATAAACAAAAGTTTGAAATGACAGTCAAGACAGTAAACTTCTTTAAAAGAAAAAGAAAACTTTTACTTAAAATAACAAAGCTTAAGCAAAATAAGATAAATAATATATGATAATGTAAAGATTTTAATGTTATAACAAATTTAATTGCTTCTTAAAAAGATATACAAACTGTAATTCACATTGTCAAATAAGTTTTACCTAGTAGTTCACAGTTCATTGGACAGATAAATAGAATGAAACAATAAGTCTAAGTGTAAAAATCTATAAAATGTTATTTTATAACTTTGTCTTATTTTCTCTTATTTTTACTCTTTAGTTATCTTTCAGTATATTTAATATATTTTAGAACATTTTTTTATAGGTAGAATATTGTAAATTATAATTATTATTTTATCACTTTTAATTTTATAGTTATAAATAAAAAATATTTTAAATAATTTCAGTGGAACAAGTAGTATTTTGTCCCACATCACCTTTACAAGCTGAATTATATTCTGAAATATTAGGATGCAAATCAGTGAGAGCTTGTTTGACTTCTTTTTCAACTGTTGATACAGGCCATCATCTTATGTGCATAACTGCTCTCAGAAAGTTATGTAATCATCCATTGTTATTATATTTAAAATCTACAGAAGCTGAAGAAACAAATATTTGTAATACAGTAAAGGTAATTATATGCTCTAAGAGTTTATTTTAATTATCTATCAGTGAAATATCTCTAATTCTGTGAATATGGATGTTGCTCAAGACAGATTTGAGAGGCCAAAGCAAATGTTCTGGCTTGTTTTTTAGTGAACCTTATTCAATTTCCTTAGGAACAGTACCTAATCTTACTTAACTGAAGTCATGCAATATTCATTATTATATTTTTTATTTTTATTTTAAAGCAACAAAACTGACTGCTTTTGTGAGACATCAGAGGGCCAGGGGTTAATCCCTTCTGACCACTTACACTGCACAGGCTGGTAAAACCCGGTCTCGGAGTCATCGGATGGCTAGGAGGGCAAAAAGTGAGTGGGGAATGCATTGGTATGCCAGCAGGCATCCTTTCAGAGACAGGAGACAGGTTTAACAAATTAAAAAAAAAGCATTTATTAAGGAACTAAATCTACATTACAGAAGGCGATAATTAATTCTAAGGATAAATGCGGTTATAATAGACTATGTACATATAATGGTGACTATTCTTGTCTATGTCACTTGCCTAACTCTAGGGAGAGAGAGTTTGCAATGCTCTAAATAACAGTACCTCTATGAGGAAATGAATGGTATGTGTTGAATGGGTTGTAGGAATCAGTCGGCACAGGAACTGTAGTATGGCGATAAGTATGGAAGTTTGAAGCTGTGGTCTGTCTTCTACTGATGTCTTCTCCTTTCGTTCGTTTGTTCACTGTATGGAGGCTTGGGAGACAAGATGCACACATGAACAAGTATAACTTCCTTTGGATCTCCCTGAGCTTCTGGGGGCTCGAGCTTTTATACATTTGTCGTGGGAAAGGAGTCACGTGATCATCATGTGATGACATTAACAGTGCATTCTTGACACCTATGTTTCCCAGCTAATTGTGATAACAAATGGTGACCTCCGATATAATTCTCACCAAGAGAGTTTTTTCTGTGGGTTGTTTACAATTTTTTTTTCTGACAACTGCGTTAAATTTGCGGATTTCACACTTTTGTATCACCTTCTAGATATGTCATATTATCTATAATTAAAAATGTTCTGTTTAATGATTTAATTTTAAATTGTTTTATTGTTGATTTTTATTTTTTTAATTTTTATTTTGTCATTTATGTCTTTGAAATTGCTTTATTACATNTTCTTTATTCAGTCATGTTTTTGGATTATATTCTCATTTTATTGATCAGAAGTGATCCTTAATCAATATATTCTCTTCTGTATTAAACTATATTAAAAAAGTTTTATCACTAAACTATGGATTATTTTTGTTTTTTTAATATATTGACTGTATAATTAATGATTTTACAGGTAATTTTTTAATTTAATTTAGAGTACTAAAGGTATTGTGTTTTTACAATTACTAGATTTAATGTATAAATTTTGTTTTCTAGTAGTTAAACAAACTTAAAAAAAAACAGATCATTCAGTAAATATTCTCCAGACAATACACAATTTCATCTAAAATAAAACAAAAAGATATATTTGTACTAGGAAAAGAGATGTGTATATATATATATATAACATATTTTAAATTTTTGTAAACTTTGTATATATTTTTCTGTAATTTACTTTGGTAATTTCATTCCAAATGGAATGAGGTTGGCAACACAAAAAAAGAATAAAGAGAGATTGAAAGAGGACCCGAAAGTACATGGACATGTTGTTTTATGGTCTCTAATTTTCTTTGTCTTGATCATCCTACACTCAATCCCATGACTATGAATGCAAAATAATACAACATACAGTATATATATATATATATATTCCATTTATGAGCATGTGTGCTATACTTATATGTGTGACAATGCTGAAGGGCCTCCCTGTACTTCGGCACCATGTGACCGAAGGGTTGACATCGCGTCGACGAAGATCGCAATGACAGGTTTCATCAGGACTGACACCACTGTGTCTTCACGGCTAGACACAGAAACCGTTTCGTTCGGGTGTGAGCGGTCGCGTGTGTGAGTGATCTGAGTCGAGATAGAAGGAGAGACAGCGCACCGGAAGTGACTTACTCAGAGACATTTTAACGTAACAACTGTATAATGGTTAATGATAGGCTATACATTAGGGCTGCTGTTAGATACATTTCTCAATTTTATAAGTATTAGAGATTAAGATATGACCTGATTCGAGAGAGAGAGTTTACAGAAGTTCACGTGTCGATAATTACCTTGTATGAAATCCCGTAAGAAGACAGTTCTTATTTCCATAGTTATTAGGCGAAGAAATATCCAAAGGTGAGGAAATATCCAAAGGTGAGGAAATATCCAAAGGCGAGGAAATATCCAAAGGCGAAGAACTATCCAAATTTGGTGAGGCACAGGGAAAACTCGAGTGGTCCGATCGAGGAACTGGTGACAACTGCCTCACTTTGTTGTCTGTTTTCCATGTTGGATTGTTGAAACGGAGATATTAGGTCGAAAGGTGCTGAGAAAGCGTCGTTATTAAGCCTGAGAACTTAGCAGATATTTAGCTCCCAGGTGTAAAAGTTGACAGTTATTAAACGAAAGTATAGCTACACTGTGATCTGACATAAACACACGAAAAGTCCGAATTCGGATCCTCACAATATGCCATGTGGGATAGTAGTTTGTAAATACTGTTTGTATTTTTATAATCTTTATATTATATGTAACAATTATATATTTTTTAATTTTTGAAGAATAAAATGTTATAAAAATAAATTTTATATTATTTATTACAGTAAAATAATGTCATTTTTTGCTGAATATTCCATTTGTGGAAAACAAATTTAAATTTTGACTGTTGTTAGTTATACAGGTTGAATCAGATATCGCAGCGATTCCCAACCTGTGGTACGTGTACCCCTAGGGGTACGCGATAGGTTGTTTAGGGGTACAGAAAAAAGTTAGTCATTATGGCAGAAATAATAATATATTATGTATCACAAACTAATAGTATTAAAAAATTATTAGGTAAAATATGTTCCTTGCAACAATCACAACTTTATTATACATTTTTTCTTTTAGGTTTTTTTTCTTTAATTTAAAGTTACAATATGTAAAATTAACAATACGGGTACTCACTAAATTTCTTAAATGAGGGGTACAATCTAGAGATATGACATGTCACGGGGTATGCTAATGAAAAAAGGTTGGGAACCGCTGAGATATCGCATTCCGAGACAAACTCTATTATGATGAGTGTTACAAATTTTTTCCCTTTATTGTGTAATATATAATTAATGTTTCATTTTTATTCATTTTCTTTGATACTTTTTGAAGGTTTAATGTCAATGAATATCTAAAATCTTAATATTTCTTTTATTTCAGTTTTGAACTTTTTCTCTCTAGTGGGCACTGAATAGGCCTTTTCTCCAGACACTTTTATCGGTTCGGCCAAATGGTGAGGGATGGTACAAACTTATTTGTAACAGGCAAACCATAAAAAATTTCCTGAAGTTTCCAACCATGATACAAACCAAAGTTTGCAGAATAGCAAGCTGACACTTTTGCCACATAGGCAATCTAGCCACTGATCTTTCTGATATATTGAGCTGTTTGCATTCTGATGTAATCAATCAATATGTTCTGTGTTAAAAGTCTGCATTTCAATCTGGTGATATGTTGCCAAATAAAAAATGAAATGGTTTAGAAACTCTAATACAGTTGTGATGTCAATGTTACAGGTGTTCTCATTTGACTTTCTGATGACAATGTTACAGGTGTTCTATTGACTTTCTGTGTCTATGTTTGACTACAGAAAAGTTAAACATTTTAAAACTGGTTTGTCTGCATATTTTCCATTTTCTTCTTTTGCAATAGTTTTCCTGCATTCATTTGCATGATACTAGCATGATGGGATAGCACTTTGTTGATTTACATATGATTTTACACAGGTTTTGTGTTTGTTGCTTTAAAAAAATGGTGGTTATTTCTGTAGAATTAACCCATAAAGTTTCATCAAGTTCTGAGGAAATATTTTTTTGAAAAATCGATTTTTAAAAGGAATATAAAGAAAACTGCACCATTGATATATACATATCTATTACTTATAGCAGAAAAATGAAATAATTTTTTAAAATATTTTGGTCTCTACTTAATATAGGACTCATTGAATCACAAAACACTGATTCTTTACCTGTAATATAATCTTTAAAAATTTCCATTACATTTTGTAGAATTTAGATCTTAAAAAAGTACAAAATTATTTGCTTTAAAAGCAAATAATTTTGTACTTTTTTAAATATTTTTAAATTACACTATCAAACAAAATTGAATAACTTAATGTAATGTAATATATATAATTATGTATGTGATAATTTTAGGATGCATTATATCAAGAAATTTCATCAAGTTTTCCAAAAGATTTTGAAAATGTAAATTTATCAGTTACGTCAGGAAAATTAAAAGTAGTTTCTCAATTATTAGAAAGTATGTTTGCTGATAGTCGAAAAGAAAAAATAGTTTTGGTTTCTCATTTTACTCAAGTATGTGATAAATTTCAATGTTTGTTTAAATTAAAGTTGTAATTTAAATTTGAATATAATTTTAGATTTATTTATTCCATAAAATTTTATCTAAAATCTGATTATTTTTCAGACTTTAGATATTTTACAGAAATATTGTAGACTTAAAGGATACAGCTTTGTAAGATTAGATGGTTCAACACCAGCTTCCAGTCGACAGAATATTGTAGATAGTTTCAATTCACCATATTCTAATCATTGTGAGAATATTCTAATTCATTAATGTATACAGTCTGTTAATAAGTATATTTAAAATATTTATATTTGTTCTGACTTACAGTTATATTTCTCTTAAGTTCTAAAGCTGGTGGAGTTGGATTAAATTTAATTGGAGCATCTAGAATTCTGCTTTATGATATTGATTGGAATCCAGCAAACGATCTGCAAGCAATGGCTCGTGTTTGGCGAGATGGACAGAAGAAACGAGTTTTTATTTACAGATTAATTACTGCAGTATGTTTTACATTTAATTTAATTTTTGCAAGTGAAATATTTTATGTAAGAAAATTTCATATTACATAAAATTTAGAATTATATAATACAGAATATTAAAGCCAACCGTTGTCGTATGCAATCGGGCTAATAAACGGCTATAATATTAATGAATTACCAAACAATTTGATACTAGAGGGATTAACGCCTCCCTCTAGTATGGTTGGCTTTAGTATTATGATGTACCAGATTTAGTAGAGTTGTTTGTTTATACAGAATATTATGTATTGCTTAGAATACACAGAATTTTTAGAATTATAATTGTTTTTGAAAAATTAACGTATGAGAAGATTAACTTAATCTTTCTTAAATTTTATAATACCACATGTATTTTATATTTATATTTTATAATTCAAATATAATTTAAGCTGAATAATAGCTAAATAGTGAAAAAATATTTTAGAAAATTTTACAAAAATATAAAACTTTTGTTGTTATATATTTATATAACATAGTTGAGACACTTTTGGCTCTTCTTTATTTTTTTTTCTAATTGAAATAAAGTGATACTTCTAGTCGTACCAGTATTACCAGAAATTCCATCATCTGAATCATTGGAAGAAAAATTCTAGCTATTGTACAGCAAGAGTCTAATCCTTGCATTTATTCTTAACAAATTTAAAAAACTTTAATTTTTTAACGTTAATAGAAGTTGAATTTATTTATTTTTCAACATTGTAATGTTTTTTTATCATTAAATTTTTTTCTTTAGACTTTAATCATTTTATGACTCTGCTGAAATAAGGCCCATTGTACATGTTTTGTTTGTATATAACATTGTGTTTTGTCAAGTTAATTATATTAACCATACTTTTACTTTTATTTTTATTTTGAAGCTTGGTAATGTTAATAATTTTGTTTTTTTAGAAAGATGTGATCATCTTTAAAGAGTCATGACATTCTAAATAAATTTTATAGGGATATACGAAAATATTTTTAAGTTAAGATTCCTAGTCTTATTGTCTATTAACTCTTCTGTTTAATGTGATTCTTAAAATACTTTGTGTTTTAAATATGAGTCATTTATGACATCACAAGGCATATTCAAGATTACTGTGCTTCCTAATATGAATGTATATCTTGATGTTAACTAAAAAGTCTCATATTTCAAGTTATAGTTGAGAACATTTAAGAATAAGTTTATATTGGCTTTTTAGCCAATATAATTTTTAAGACAGTCTGTGAGTACTCAGCAGAGATAAATTACAAACTTACTACAACACTTTGCATTTGCTGGGAGAAATTTTTATTAACAAACGTTTTCAGCCTACTCATATACTCTAATCGGGTTTTTAAATCCATTTTTACAAATTGTTCCACAAATGGAATATTCCATTGAATTATTCTAAATACAAATTTAAATTTAAACTAATTAAATAAATAAATTATGAAAAATATAAGATTAACAATAAACGATGCCTTTGGGAGTAGGCTGAAAATGTTTGTTAATAAAAAAACTCTCTCAGAATGCACAGGTATTGTAGTAAGTTTGTAATAATGTTTAATAGAACAATTTGAATGTTCTGAACTGGTTTTTGAAGAAGTGGAATTTCTTTAGAGAAATGAAATAGAATTTATCTTGCGTCTTAGATTTAATTGGTTTGAAAAAGCTATCATTAAGCTTGCCATCATAAATCAAACTTTAATTTTCTGTAGATTCATTGTCATAAATTGAGATACTGTTTTTAGAAATAAACACTGAACTATGCAATATCATACTAAAGTAACCAACAAAAATATATGAGTATGGTATTTTGTGCAATTAAGTTACACTAGGTAATTTATAGCAAGGATTGTAGAACTTTTTCTGTAATCCTTTCTATAAATTAACAATTTAACTTGATGATTCAAGTTAAAATAAATTTGAAAAATAATTGTAAATTCATTTTAAAATCTGCTAAGTTCTAAAATAACAGAAAAATAAAATTTTTTTAATTGGCATTTTTAACAAATTCATTTATTAATTTGTTGATATTGAAAAGATTTTAAACAGTAACAGTAACAGAATATATATTGAATGAACTCTAAATTAAAGATTGAACACACTCCATGATATCTAAATTTTGACATTACAACTCTGCTTTCATTCAATTCATATATCAAAATTCCAACTATGTATTTTCAGATGTTTTAAAAATGCTTAGTTAGAATTTTAATATTGAATTATATGACTCCACTGCAAAAAAATTGTGGTGTCATGATCACTACTCTGCTTTCGTAATTTATTGCAGACAGAGAAAAATATTTTTTAGAATGTTTGAAGAAAAACATTTAATCATTTAATGATTTATGGAAATTTGATTTCATTAAAAGATTAATTTTTCAGATTCTGTTAAAGACTTAGTTTCCTCTTCCTGTCGTAATCCAAATGGCTATGGTTCACAACAAATTTAAATAATTAAATATAGTTACAATATAATATTTTCATGATTATTTTGCTTTTAATATTTAAAATGATATATATGAGCTAATAACAATAGATTTTTTAAATTTTGCTTTAACTTTTAATGAAATCTTTACTAGAAAAATAGTTTGCAGACTTTGAAATAATTAAGTACAGAAATATAAATGTATAGGTTTAAATAATAAAAATTATTTAGATAAGTTTCTTTATTTTACACAATTATATTTACATAATATTATGTTATCATTTAGAGTACATTTATATATTATGATTAAATAATTATAAATATAAATGAATGAGTAATTATAATCAACATTTTTAAAAAAATTTATTTATTTATATTTCAGGGTACAATAGAAGAGAAGATATATCAGAGACAAATTACAAAACAGAATATATGTGGAGCTGTAGTAGATTGTAAAGAAACCAATAAAGTGAAATTTTCACTTGAAGAGTTAAAAGTTAGATTTTAACTTTTTTGTGTTTCATGAAATTTGTATTTAAAATACATTTTAATTTCTAATTACCTATTATTTTTATCCAATATTAACCTGCATTTCTTAATAATAATAATCACACCAGTGCTGCAATATAGTAGGAACTGGTTTGATTGTTAATAATGCTTTTACTTACTATTTTTAATTTAATGCAAAAGTTGTTCCTAAAATATCTATAGTGTTAAGGATTTTCTCATGCATGATACAGGGTGTTTCATTTAACTTGAAATATCTCTAGAAATACACAGCATACAAAAAAATGTTTGAAACAAATCTTCAGTATTTTGGAGAGGGCAGTTCAACTCACAAAATTCCACAGTCTAAAGTTAAATGAAACACCTTGTATATACGTAATAAACAATACAGTTACATATATAAAATGGCAGTGTTCTTGCTATGAAAAACTTTCAGGTGGTCAACCTGCAATGTTAGCTGGCTGTTGTTGCAAATTTTTTAATGAATATCAATTGATGAAAATAAAATAAGGTCAGTTCTATAATACTCAATAGCATACTAATCTATAGACCAATCTTTAAAAAAGTAATCAAATAAAATAAAAACATGCCATATTTTTAATTGACTGAAGGAAAATATTTAGATAGTCAGTCAATTCACCTAGCTAAAACCATTTTGGAAGAACATTATAATTGTATGTTAAGAAATTAAATAAATATATAAATCATTTCTTAATTTACTGGGTAGAAACTAAAATATGGAAAACTATATACAGTAGATCCCCCTATAAGACGGTAGATACGTTCCGTTCTTTATGAATCAATTTTGTAGGAATCATAGTTTACGGACTACGGCTGTTTGAAAGGTTTTCTTTCATAAAATTAATCGATTCTAGACTAATTCGACTCAACATTTCCAAAATACGTATATTTTTTTGAAAATAATCCGTATAAACTACGTTATAAACAAAAAATTGTAGGATTGCTTACCGAGTGTGTACCGTTCGACTACGCCCGTTGCTAAAGCTTGGTTTCGTCGCGGAACAGCGCATCAAACCGCGGCCGCGATTTCTGATATTATTTTTCTGCGAAAACTTCGTTGACCTTTGGAGACATCCTTAATATAAATAATTTTTATGGCCGTTAAATAAGAAATGTTTCTTTCACAAGAAATGTATAAAATTACAGTACTGGACAGACGATAGGTCGCCTAACTCGCCGTAGCGTGACGCTAGACGGCGAAAAATATATATTTAATTATAATAAAGTTACAATAAATTAAGTTAATATATAATTATATATACAGTACCTAATTTATATATAATTAATATATAATTATATGTACAGTACCTAATTTATATATAATTATATGAACAGACGATACTAAACTCAATTTATCCGCCTAAACGTCCGTAGCGTGGCGCTACGGACGGCGGGAAAGTAGTTCGGCTGCCCGATGACGTTTTACGTATTATAGGAGTTATTTTTACCGTTGTTTACGGATACTGCCACAATTTTTATAGGAATCATAACTATAGGAAACGGTTTTATAGGGGGATCTACTGTAATGTCAACAAATTATAACAATAAAAAGAAATAAAAAAAGTCAAGAACAAACTGAATTGGGAAGAACTATTCAGATAGTTAATAATAATTTTTTGTCATTAATGTAGTTATTATCTAGAGATAAAGAAACAGAAGTTAATAATAATTTTTAAACAATTGGCCAGTTTTCTAACCTGTATTACTAAACTACATAATTACAGTAAAATCTATGTAAACTGGAATCACATTTTTGCCATTTTGGCAGGTGTTCATTTTGAACAGGTTTAAAATTTTTTTTTCCTGTCTTTAAATTAAACCAGATAAATATGGCACAGTTACATTTGTTTTTTATAGCAAAATTAATATACATACAGTAAAAACCATTTTATTACTAGTTTAATTAATTCAAAGTGATGCCAACTAAGGATGGGTGTATTTGAATTCAAAAGTTGAGAATGATTTGGTTCCAGAAACTTTTCATCATTTTTAAGATCATATGTTGGGTATTTGAATACTAAAATTTCATAAATATGATCTTTTTGAGCTCACATGACAACAAAAAGTCAGTTTGAGTAACAAGAACTACAGTAGAGCATCGATTATCCGACCCATGATCAACCGTCACATCGGTTAACCAACCGCGTTCTAGTCGGCAAATTCAAATGTCTGCTAGTGATGTGGCGCTACAATATTTGGCTATGTCTTGGCTACTTTAATATTATATTATTTTTACGTGTTTTACCTGGCAACACTGGCTCGACCATGAAAGGGAGCCAGTATTTAAACGAGGCTTAATTTTCTAATTTCTAATGATACGATAGTGACGATTATTATTTTAAAAAAAATTTTTGTTAGGTCTAACATTGATGAAAATTCAACGCAAAGTAGGTTAATAGTGATATACTAATTACATGGGATATACTAATATACTATACTAATAATGTATTTTTTCATATTTTTCAGTTATCCGACCAACCCCAGTCCCCAATTGAGTCGGATAATCGATGCTCTACTGTATTATCTTATTTTCTCATCAGAAATTCAAATCACATTACAATAATGCAGAGACCAAGTTACTCTAATTAATCAGTCACAAACCTGTAATTATTGACAATATTAATCATCATGTATTTAAATACTCTATACTAGTTAGTTATCAATTAATCTAACAAGGCAAACTGACAGCACTGTATTCTTATTCTCATTGTAGCAAATTACATTCATTGTTTGTTTTCGAGAACTTTGTTCTCAAACACTGTTTTGATTCTTGAAAGTTCTCAAAAGTATTCAATTATGCTCTTGATTAATTCTAACGAAGACCCTGTGTTTATATGTCCCTTTGTTAATTGACCTTTATTTCTCTGAAAAGGTTTGAAATCATTTCCTGAATACAGTTTGTTGCTCTATGTTGACCATTATATTTAGATGATTTTACTTGTTTGTTTTCAAGTATAGTTTTAATTTTCCACTTTATTCAAGTTAAGTTACATTCTTCTTACTTAAAATCTTCTTTTGTTTCTATGTTGATCAGGTTTTTGGATTATGGTAAAATCCAATATAGAAATTGTTCCATCCGAAAGAACTTTTTCCATTTAAGCAGATTTGTTTTATTCAGACCCATTTCAGACAGGTTTTATTGTAAATATATATATATAAGCAACGTCACAAGTGATATATTTATCTATAATAAAGGCAATTATGGAAAATGTTTCATAAGGTAGCTGCAGATTGTCGAGAGCTTGTGTGGGGCCTGGGATTGAGTGAGCTCCTTTAGCCTTTTATTTTTTGAACTAATGAGATATGCCTTTTACTAATAGAGAAACATTCTATAGCCTTACAGATTTTATTTTCTGTTAGTAAAAATAATGTTTATTTAATATGGGTATGAACCACTATGCACTCCTAATTTTCTCTGGGTCTAGTGTAAAATTCCCAGCTCCTCCTCTTGATGGCTCTTGAGTATCTGGGTGATGGCTGAGACAGTTAAGGAGTCAGAATACTGTTCTGAGGGATCCAGGATTGAATCCAATTGGTTGAAAAATTCCAAGAATTTTTCAGAGGTGGTCTGTTCTGGATATGTTGGGCCCTGTTCCTCATTACCTGGCCACCCCATTCTAGGCTTGGCCAAACTGATATTGGATATGAAAAGACACTCTTAGTGCCCATTGAGCGTAAAGTAAAAAACAATGTTTCCTAAATTGGAAGAAAGATGGCTACAACATATAGATGCCTAAAGAGATTATTTTGAAGTGGATAACATAATAAACAAAAAATTTATTTATTTATAATTATACATGGTAGCCACTTAAACATCTGTTCAGGAGCAAATATGATCTTTTTGGCATTGAATACATGTATGCATGTGATGCATGCTTGTTCCAGTGCTAAAATAATCAATATTTAAATATCTATCCAGGGGTAAAACATTACTTCATTTAAAAAATGTCACAGTAATAATAAATTAATACAATTTGTAAAATAAAATAAATCATTCAACAAAAGGACATGTAATAATTACACAGTATTCAGTAACAATATGTAAAATTTTTCAAACATTCAACCCTGTTCATGTCCACTACATTCTTTAAAATTGATCCCCTTGGAAAAATCCAGAGGGGTCATCTGAAAACATTGGTGTGTGGTAGATACACAGCAGTACCATATGATGGCAAACTGAATAGATCCATCTGATTGGATTGTGAAATGGTAACATTAGGAATGCTTTGTTATTCATAATGCCACACTTAACTGTCTACATCTTTATGTAAGGTTTGCTGACTGTGTGCGATTGTCGGGATGGTCAAGGGGTCGAGCAATCATGTGTGGGTGTGAAATGCACGATTGCTCGACTCCTGAAACAGGTCTACTATTCACTTTTTCCCATTTAATAAAATATAAAAATATTCTTACAAAATTTTTGATATTGTTGTTACAATTCTCCTTTGAAATTTCTTTTTAAGAAGAGAGTCCTAATGGTAAAAGTCCTAATGTCATATTGGATGTCAACACTTGTCCCTTGTTGATCATCTTCAGTAGGATCAATGGCCCCGGGCATGCTGGTAAGTTCGGATCTAACAAATCTTGGAGAGAGAGCAACTTTGTAGATAGAAAAACTGATCTTGGATGAAGAACAAAGTTTAGAGCAAAGAACGGATCTTGGAAAAAAGAACAAATCTTGGAGTAAAGAACGTCATGTCCTTGAAACATGAGTTTTTAAAAGGTTTCTCTCCTCTATTCCTCATTCCAGTTGGTCTTCCCTCATCTCCCAGTTACAATTCAAAACCTTTTGGGGCATGGGAGAGGTCGTCATCGACACTTAACCCAATCCCAATTGGCTGAAATTCTTCCAAACTTTGAAATTCTTCCTTGTAATTTTAGTCTTTTGTTTTTCTTTTTGACAGAAAGAAGTTTTATTGTTTTCATGAGACAGTCTCTCTTTGTTTTTTATTTCCAAAGGTTTTACTGTCCCGCTGGACATTCATTATCTTTAAGACAAAGTTTCAGAGTTTATATAAACTCTGAAACTTTGCTACTGATTATTTCAACATGTTTTTTACATTTTTCATTCAAATAAATTTAATACATAGCATTGAAGAAAATATGAAAAAGATTAAACTAACTAACTCTTTGAAAATTTTATTTACATCTTATATTCACTTAAAAAATATTAATTAAATTAAAACATTTAAAATCTTTATATTGGAAGATGAAAGAATTCTTTAAGTAATCTTTACAGTATAAAATAATGGAAATGTAGCATGGAATAAGATGAATGCTAATTAGTTTTATCAAAAAGTGTGCTACTATGGGATTTTTGCAATTTTTTATTTATTATTTTCTTTGCATGAATATTTTTATTAATGATTTACAGATGCTGTATATGCTGTATATTATATAATTTGAATATTTTATAATTATTTTTAACAGGATTTATTTAGTTTTCAAAAAGATAGTATAAATTACTCAATATACATTATATTATTATTATGCCATTGTCAAGAAGAAAACAAAACACCAGATGAATCTTTAAATAATGAAGATAAAACTGAGACAAATGTTTATCAATTAAATGAAACACCTACTTTGTTTAATAAGGTATAATATCATATAATTTTTTACTTCATTTCTAAGTAAAATACAGAAGTAGCATGATCTTTTTCAAGGAGTCAGCTTTATTTACTCATTCTCAAGTTCTTGCAAATTAGTAAATGATATAGACTTCTTGAAAAACTTAGGAATTTTAGCAATAAAAACAGTATTGTAATTAAGTTTTTATTCAAAATTTACCAATAATTAATAATTTCATAATAAAGTGTTAGATTTTTCAAAATTAGTACATATTTATTTATTTATCTAGAGTGTATCTATGTCTGAATTGTTGAAATGGGAACATATTCCAGGAATTTCAATTTCTGATACATACCAGGTTGGTATTTCTTAAATTCCTTAATATCTTGTAAAATATAGGAACTATATTGATATACATTAAAAATTGTTAATACAGTATTAAAAACTAAATTTAAATATGTTTTGATAGTAAATTTAATTAATTTTTAGGGTATATGCTTTATTTTGCAAAAGAAAGAGTTCTAACTATATTATGAAATATTCCAGTTATAAATCATCTGTATGAGATTACATTCAATTTTCATGTCAAAAATCTATTGTAGAATAAGAATATTTTAATATTTTGAGTTTCGTATTTGAGAAGTTTTCATATTATAATCATTCTTTTACACTATCAAGAACGACCAGAGTGAATGATTTACTGACAGTTGTATAAGTTTTACAATAATCTGATTCAAATGACTAAACTTTCAGAATTTTGTTCAGATTTATTTCTTTTTCCATGAAAATCAATATGGATAAAGGCAAATGATCAGAGACTGTTTTTATCCAACACTTCCATGTCTGGTCTAAATATATAAAATTACTTGTTCTGACAGACCTGACTGACTGAGTGATTGACTGATTGATTCATCATTGCCCAGAGCAAACTAATAGGAACTATAGAGGTGAAATTTGGTACGTTATGAAAATGCACTCTAAGAAGGGATTTTTTTGAAATTAAGGAAAGGGAAAGGATTAAGGCTTAACTTGAAGAATGGCTTCTACTGTACTATTTTAGATGCAATCTTTTGTTTTTAACTATGTTTAGTCTTCATTGAGTACTTAGGTGTATTAAATTNCGTTATGAAAATGCACTCTAAGAAGGGATTTTTTTGAAATTAAGGAAAGGGAAAGGATTAAGGCTTAACTTGAAGAATGGCTTCTACTGTACTATTTTAGATGCAATCTTTTGTTTTTAACTATGTTTAGTCTTCATTGAGTACTTAGGTGTATTAAATTTATAACATTTCAAATATTGTTATAAATATTTTTATATATTTCAATTTTTTAACCAAATGTTTGAACCATTTTAAATTTGAATTTGATATTGCATATTGGTTCGATTATAGAACGATTGTAAACATTCCATAAAATTGATAACCTGACGATGGCCCATTGATCAGGTTGAAAACATTTGTTTGAAGCATTAAAATGATTTTCAGCAATAAGGTTCATTTGCTAGTACAGTAATACCTCGACTTATGCGATTTTCAAATCTCGTCGATTCGTCTTTTGTTTGAGTGCCACGCAACTCTCGATTACNCATTCCATAAAATTGATCAGGTTGAAAACATTTGTTTGAAGCATTAAAATGATTTTCAGCAATAAGGTTCATTTGCTAGTACAGTAATACCTCGACTTATGCGATTTTCAAATCTCGTCGATTCGTCTTTTGTTTGAGTGCCACGCAACTCTCGATTACTCATTTCCCCAACACTATTGTTCGGCTTACATGTTCGGACGTGTCGTGCGGAATCGATGCATAGCTACAATTTATTTTGTGTTAGTTATATCTATGGAGACTTGAGAGACTCTATGTGATTTCTTGTAACCGTGAACAAATCAAAAGACGAGATAAGATTAACGAGAACATTTGTTACCTTACATACATCCGACTTGAATTTTACACAAATTGCGAAATTATACCCCGACTTACACGAATTTGACTTATGCGGTTATCGCTCGGTCCCACCTATCGCATAAGTTCGGGGTATTACTGTATATTATATTCTTATAAATAAGTGGATTTAAATACGTAATGTATTTTTTTTTTTTTCTTATAACTCTTTCCACCCTGTAGGCACTAAGAGGGCCTCTTTTTGCAAGCCCATTATAGGTTCGGCCAGGCCCACAATGGGGCTGCTGGGTGGTGAGGGACGGGGCCCGACATATCCGAATGGACCACCCCCGAAAAATTCCTGGGGATTTTTCGACCCATTTGGATTCGAACCTGGGTCCCCCAGAGCGCTAGGCTGCCACCTTAGCCGCTCTGCCATCCAGCTGCTACGTAATGTATTACAGAAGGGCTCTGAGTAGTAGCTATGAATTATTTTAGAAATAAAAGATCAAAATTTTTTACTACAGCATTTAAGTTTCAGTATGAAATTAAATTTATTTTATACTGGATTCTATACCTCATTAAGACTTTGACTCAATTTCTTTAACATTTTAAGATAAATTCAGCATAGACTCTTATTTTTAAGAAATTATTCATGAATTTTTCTAATGAATGAAACTTGCTATAGAATAAACTCTCCATTTAACAGATGAAAAATTTCTGTCCTATAGAAAAATTTAAAAAGTTTTTCATTCACAAGTCTCCAGAGTATGCTAAAAAGTAGAATTAATGAGTGAAACAGTATAAATTACACAATATACATTATATTATTATTTTATTCATACCTACACATTATTATAAGATTTTAACACATTTTGTACATTTTAAGTTCATTATTATATGTTTATAAAATGTATTTGATTTAAAAGACTTTTGGCAATAGCTGCAATTCCTCTCCCAATTAGTCCATTTGATTTACTGGTTTTCGAGTGTTTACTATATTTGGTTTTAAACTAAATATTTGTGCTATAAGCTCTCTAAACTTCATCATTAAGTAATATAGTAAGCAAATGATAATGTCAGATTTATAATTGGGCTGTAATTTTGAAATTTCAGACCTAGAAATTCATACTGTCATCTGTTTGTCTGTTTGTTTCTTAATCTCGAGAATGGTGTTAGATAGATAAAAGTCAAGACCAGATATGGAAAGCGTAGGGGCAGGAGGCTCCGATTAATTCTATACAAACTTCTGGTCTACACTGGAAGTACTTGAATTCAATTCAAAAATTTTCCCCTGAATGGAGTTATATAGATGATAAGCATGACTGTTGTTATCAGGTAAAGCATGTGCAGGGGAAAGACACTACTAATTTGAGACGGAGAACTATATTTTAAATTAAATAAATTAAGAATAGGAATAAAAATTGCAGTCTGGTATTGTGACAATGTCACAATAAATAATTGCTCATTAAACATATAATTAATATGTATATTTAATTAATAAGTGTATAACTTATTATTAATCATTTTGTTTAAAATGTTTTAAATTTTATTTATCAAAATAATTTATTTTTATCGTTTCAGGATACACATTTAGCAACTTGTAAAGATGATATTACCTTTATTTTTTCTAACCAAACCAAATCTACTCCACAAATTGGATGATGAATGTAGTTTTGTATGTTTTATTTTTAAAAATTTATAAAAATAAAATTATTTATTTATTTATTTACAATTTGTTTATGCTTAAATAATAAGTGTTTAAACATTAAAAGTGAAATATTAATGTATTATAAACATTAGACAGAGAAAATTATTTTAAGAATTAATAGTAATTAAATAAGTACACATTTTACCTAAATTAAGATTAGGATAAATTTTCTGTTATAATAATATAATTTTACAATGTAATTTTTTTACTGATAATTTGAGGAATATTGTTAAACTGATTAAACATGTATTCATCAGATGCTGGCAAATACATATACAACTTGTACTGATGTGAATATAACAATGAACTGTCTTAATTCTAGCTTAAAGATGGGCAGGATTTGTTTAAGTTGAGAGTGAACNGTTAGATAGATAAAAGTCAAGACCAGATACAGAAAGCGTAGGAGCAGGAGGCTCCAATTAATTCTATACAAACTTCTGGTCTAGACTGTAAATACTTGAATTCAGTTCAAAAATTTTCCCCTGAATGGAGTTATATAGATGATAAGCATGACTTTTGTTATCAGGTAAAGCATGTGCAGGGGAAAGACACTACTAATTTGAGACGGAGAACATATATTTTAAATTAAATAAATTAAGAATAGGAATAAAAATTGCAGTCTGGTATTGTGACAATGTCACAATAAATAATTGCTCATTAAACATATAATTAATATGTATATTTAATTAATAAGGTTATAACTTATTATTAATCATTTTGTTTAAAATGTCTTAAATTTTATTTCTAGAAATAATTTATTTTTATCATTTCAGGATACACATTTAGCAACTTGTAAAGATGATATTACCTTTATTTTTTCTAACCAAACCAAATCTACTCCAGAAATGGGATGATGAATGTAGTTTTGTATGTTTTATTTTTAAAAATTTATAAAAATAAAATTATTTATTTATTTATTTATTTACAATTTGTTTATGCTTAAATAATAAGTGTTTAAACATTAAAAGTGAAATATTAATGTATTGTAAACATAGAAAGAGAAAATTATTTTAAGAATTAATAGTAATTAAATAAGTACACATTTTACCTAAATTAAGATTAGGATAAATTTTCTGTTGTAATAATATAATTTTACAATGTAATTTTTTTACTGATAATTTGAGGAATATTGTTAAACTGATTAAACACGTATTCATCAGATGCTGGCAAATACATATACAACTTGTACTGATGTGAATATAACAATGAACTGTCTTAATTCTAGCTTAAAGATGGGCAGGATTTGTTTAAGTTGAGAGTGAGTGAACAATTTAATGGAAAGTCAGACATTTTCACGTTATTTTAAGTTTTAGCATGTTCTTTTATCTTATAAGAAAAATTGACAATGTCTCAGAATATTTTATAAATTTACTGAATGTATCGAGAATTGTAATAAGAATATTCAAGTTTAATATCTTAAGTATTCCTTTATGGAGATGTGTTGAGTAATTAAAATGTTTAAAACTAAAATTTGAATTCATGTTTTTATATAACTAGCATATTTTCATTAATTTGTATGATAAAGAGTAACTACTGAAATGCATAGTTTAAGGATCACTCATTCTTAGATCACTGGAATAGGAAGTGATGCTATCTACATAAGAAAATTAATACAATATTAACATATAGTACATCAATTAGTTGTATAGAACAGTACTATCTGCCATTAAATAAGGTATATAAAATTTTATCAGCACAAAACCTTTCTCACTAATGAAAGGTTTTGTGCTGATAAGCTTAGAAATAGTTCTAGCTACATATGCATAGTAGTGTATATAAAATTAAAATTTGGTAATAATATAATTGATCAAAAAAAGCTAAAGAAAAATACCACACATCAAATCCCTGTATTGAAGCTATTAGCCATAGCAGCATAATTTAGAACTAATGCTCACTTGGCAGGCAGTTAGATGCTTGTCAATTCATGCTGAGGGATTATCGTTGGACTATCAAACAAGAAAGCAACAGAGAATATGACACAGAGTAAACAAGCTGATTTAATAATTCATTCAGAAATTTCATTCAAAACATTTAATTTATTAAATACATTTTCAATATAAGATTACATATTTATATTCAGTTAAAAATTTAGGAAGTAATTATACAAAATAAATACAGCAAATGTGATAAAATTAACAAATTTCTAGAAAATAAATAAGAAATAAACTTTTTTTTAAATATAAATAAACAATAAATGAACAATAAATAAATAAGAAATTAACATTTTTTAAAAATGTGTATGAACATTAAATAGATAATAAATAAAATAAATAAATATAAAATTAACATTTTTTTTTAAATATGAATGAACAATAGGTGAACAGTAAATAAATAAGAAATAAAACTTCTTTTTTAAATTTGAGTGAACAATAGGTGAACAATAAATAAATAAATAAAACTTCTTTTTTAAATTTGAATGAACATCAAAAACTTATTAAACATAGTAAAAAAAAACCAACTACTTCATGTCTGTGGCAAACTAAATTACACCACATTCTAAGTTCCTTTAGAGTATCTACTTTATTCTTTGAAGATAATATCATGGATTAGAAATATGGATATACTATAATGATGGAATCAGCAATTTCCCAGTCTATAAACTTTGATCAAATCAGCTTGAATCACAGCCTCTTTCACCCTTGGTACTCTTCACAACCATATATGATGAAACCTACCAATCTTAATGTAAAAAGATTGATAGCATAACTATGTCTAAATAAATACGCTCATTATATTAATCACACTTATATCAACCTATCAAGTAATAACTGTTTATGGTGCAAATATAGTCAATTTTCAGTGGAACATCTCTTAAATTGTCAAATTCACTCTCAAATATGTGATTCCCTCAATATCACTCAAATTATACAAGGCAAAACAACATAAAATTATAGAAACAGCCTAAGTAATATATACAAAATAACCTATATAAAATATACAATTAATTTAACAAGAGGATAAAAATGCTAGATAATTAGACTTGTCAAATTAAATTAAAAAATAATGCTTATTATATGTACTGTCGCATTATTATTATTGTTAATATAATAAGTGAAATGTAATTTAACTCATTGTTAATTATATCAAAACAAAACAAATATAATAGTTGTTTTGCAATAATTTACAACTATTATTCTGTTAACTATTTTAATACGTATTTTACTAAATCAGTGATTCTCAAACTTTTTCGATCCACCGCCCCCTTTGTTCCATAAAATTATACCCAACGCCCCTAACCCATTTTCTCTTGTGTGAGAAAAAAATTGGAAATATTCTTAGGAAAACTTTTCTATGAATCTCACACTTTGTGCCCTTACTGTACATTGTTCTCATCATCTGGAAACCATTAAACGCAATGTTTCCTCTTATCAGCCCCAATTTTGCCTTTGGTCACCGTTCAATACCCTGCCTCTATCATAGATCTATTCATCGCGC